ATCGCCCCCAGGAAAGACTGCCATAATATTTTGGGTTGCATAAGCAAACTAAATTGGAAATCTGGAATCTATTCAAGACCTTTTGATCAGGGAGCTTTGCAAGTGCAGAAAAGTAAAAACACAGACAGATGGGGATTAGAGTTGAGCATCAGGAGAATAATTTCCTCTTTTAATTTCAGTTCCGCCAACATATAAAAAGCATTAACAATCCAGTTACGTAACGTGCGTCAGAGCCCGGCTGTACGAGCAGGAGTGCTCCCTGTAATTAAGCCATTACACAGCCCGTGTTTGCTGCATGGAGGTGGGAGCTGCTCTGCACAAGGGAAAGAAGCCCCCCCCATCACCACCTCTCCAAAAATCCGGGCAAACGTCCTGGCCAAAATTAGAACCAGTTATCGAGGCTAATGGGAGCCGCAGGGGGCTCAGGGAAAAGTGGAGTCTGCTCTGAGACACCGCTGGGCTCGCAAAATCCAATTGACAATCACTTGCAAACCCCAATCCACCCTATTTTTCTCTATCTTTGTCGCTAAATCAGCTTCAGTGGGAGAAGGGAGATTAGGCTGAGGAGCCAGTGGAGATATTTCTGCTGATTGTTTGACGTTGGGAACAATAGTCCATAATATACTTTGTGTTGTTCTAATAGTGGGATCTTTGAGAGGAGGCACTGCAACATCCAAAGGCTGGCAAGAGTCCTGCAAATTTGAGGCTGCAAAGGCTGGCAGATCAGATTAGATTTCTGTTCTTGCCTGTTTTACTCTGCTGGGAGGATATTTTTGTGTGCAGTGGTTGATGCAGAGTGATGCAAAAAAGCACTAAGAGGATGGTTTAAATAGGACCACTTACATTTCAGGATCAACTCACTGGACACGGCTTCTGAACAGGTTTTGAAGAGTGTCTGATACCCCAGAACATCCATATTAAGAACTATTTGCCTACTGGGATCAGCTCCCCAGACTGCTGATGTCTGCAGTCTTTAGATAAAAGCCACTCCTTCCAGGTAACCGATTTTTTTTTAGATGTTTTTTGGGGTTTTTTGCATGCAGATTTAACTGCAGTTACTTTTGCTTGCCTTTCACTCTTATTACACGATCTTAGATGGGAGTAGGAGTGAGATTTCATGGACTGGGTCTGCTTGTCTTCATTTCAATTAATGTGGTATAGAGGAAAGGATCTGTATTTTTGGCATTGCTTTATGATACTCTGCAGAGGCATAAGCTCAGAGGAGCCTTCAGGTAGTCTCTGCAGCAGGAGCAGAGATGCCCTGAGTGATTTCCTCCTGCCTTGAGAGGAAGAAAAGCCCAAATTGGCCAAGACAAACCCCTGGAGCTCTCCCACCGTGGTCCTCGCTCCAGCCCCTTGCAGGAAGGATACGGTGAGGAAATCTCACCCTCCTGGCAAACCTGAAACAGTGTCAGAGGGCGGCTGGTAACCCCTGCAGGTTAGAGCTGCTTGAAGAGAGCTGCTGTGGGAGCAGCCCTGCCAAGGAGGACTTGGGGGTTCTGGTGATGAGAGGCTGGACATGACCCACAGTGTGCACTGGCAGCCCCAAAAGCCAATCAGGGGAAGTGTCACCAGCAGGTCGAGGAAGGTGATTCTGCTCCTCTGTGCTCTGCTCTTGTGAGACCCCCAGACCTGCAGTGCTGTGTCCAGCTCTGGGGTCCCTCAGTGTAAGGAGGACATGGACCTGCTGGAGCAGGTCCAGAGGAGGCCACAGAGATGATCAGGGCTGGAGCACCTCTGCTGAGAAAGGTGGGGTTGTTCAGCCTGGAGAAGAGAAGGGTCCAGGGGGAACTCAAAGCCCCTTCCAGTGCCAGAGAGCTGGAGAGTGCCTTTGGACAAGGGCCTGGAGTGACAGGACAAGGGGAAATGGCTTCAAACTGACAGAGGACAGGCTTAGATTAGATACAAGGAACAAATTCTTCCTTGTGAGGGTGGTGAGGCCCTGGCACAGGTTGACCAGAGAAGCTGTGGCTGCCCCATCCCTGGAAGTGTCCAAGGCCAGATTGGATGGGGCTTGGAGCAACCTGGGATAGTGGAAGGTGTCCCTGCCCATGGCAGGGGGTTGGAACTAGATAGTCTTCAAGGTCTCTTTCAACCCAAACCATTCTGTGATTCTATGAAGGCAGCAGGCTTAGGTGCTGCACTTCCCTTTTCATTCTGAATCGTTGAGCAAATCGTGGAGCCCAGCCATTCATTGGACCTGGGGACCATGGTTATTTCTGGACCACGAGAAGACCACAACAGGGAGAGTTAGTCATGTGTGAGCAGTACTCGCCAGGCTGATTTGCCACAACAAATAAATAAAAATAAGCGAGAAGCATTAAAAAATTAGTTGTACACATGACTGGCACATCATTTCCATTCAAATGGGTTATACCGTAGGTGCGGATGAGATCATAGGCTGCTATTTAAGGAGGAAACCTCTACTTACATAAATGTCTGATTATGCAACTGTCATGGAAACCAGAGATGACAAAGATGTATTAGATTAGCTTGTCCATTCCCTCGGAGCGCAGGATTGTTCCTTGTGGTTTATTTTTTGCTCAAGATTTTAAGAACTGATCGGTGGCTGCTGGATGCTGAGCTTGAGAAGAAATGATTTATAGTATGAGCTGAGCTGTCACTTTTCTAAAGGTGATTTGCTTTGGAAACTCAAGAATAGAAGTGCTTGAAGTCACTGGTAGCACCCAGCCACACCAGCATCTACTTCATCCCTGTACTTATACGCTCAGAGTGTCATGGCTTTCATTGGTTAAGACACATGCCAGAGTCTTAGAGGACATTTCTTTACCATTCTGCCTGACCTTTCTTTAATTTTCATCCCCTAACTCTGTTGTCTTTCCAAATAATACTCCCTTTTGTCTGGTTTTGCACCCTCCCAGAGTGTCCCTCATGGTTGTTGCTTAGCCAAGCTATACAAATTTAGCTGCTCCTAATCTTTTCTCATAGGTCAGTCCTTTGAGCCACACTCATTTTTGCTGCTGCACAGGGAAATCGGTGGAGATTAGTATTTTAATCTTCTTTCCCTGTTTAAAGAAACCCCAGGACACACACTGAATGGTTTTCCTGTGACTTTAAATTAAAATGTTTAAAAATGAATGTATTAATATCTCTTTTTCTCAGCTTTCACCTCTGGTTCCTCTCAGTCATTGATTTGACTGCTCTTCTGCCTTATTAGAAATGGCTTTTTTTTAAACAAACTTCAGTTTGGTTCCTTATCATGAACAGGTGACATTGTTATGTCACGAGCTATGCGGTTTAGTCTCTGCTTATCCTGCAGAATTAACCTGAACTGGTTTTAAACCAAACCCTCTGGGCTGTCCAGTCTCACCAGATTTGGGATTTGGGAGGCTCCATAGCAATAGGAAGACAAAAGGATTAATGCTGCCAGTGGCATTTACTCTCATTTTTGTGAACTGGTTCCTCTTTGATTGTGTTTTCTGCTCACAACGTCTTTGGTTGCTGTTATTTTCCTTGAAGGTGGTCTCCTTGCTCTCTATTAATCCCAATGGTCAATGAACTCAACTCTTGTTTCCCTCATGTCCAATTCAGATAATTACATGCAATTACAATATGGAGCTTTGATTCCTAATACCTATTTAGCTCTATGTTTAAAGATTTTTAAACAGGAAACGCTTATTATCTGTAGTTTGACTTTACCCAGGGTCACAGGGCAAACTAAATTCAGGCTCCATCAGACCCCAGCAAGGAAACAGACTGCAGAGTTGGGCCTTCTCCTCTGATAGGAAGTCCCAGGCCCAACCTGTGCTCAACCATTAACCACCAATGCCAGCAGAAAAGCTGCCACTGCTGCTGCAGAACTTGGGGAGAAGTCGATACCTGATGAGCAGGAACTCAAAATATAAAAGGGCTTCACTCTGAACTGTTGCATCAGGGTTAAGAGCTAATTCTGGCCTCTCTGAAGTAATTTGGAAAACTCTCTTAGTGTGGGCATGACTCCTGCTGACAGTCCTGCCAAGCACCTCAGCACTGACCTACAACACCTCCCCTATCTCACCGTGTGGCTCCGGGGCTATTTTAGCCAGGGCTGTCAGTGGAGCTGAATTGTTCCATTATGTGGTGGCTTTGCAATGTGGAAAAGTGTTCAGGAGGGACCACTCTCCAAATGAGAGGAGAGTGACTCAGTCTCCGGGGCCAATTCAGTCACTGATTTTTATTTATTTATTATTTTATTTTATTTTTTTCCCTGAGGCAGCTGACGCAGGGAGCAATTACAGTGGTGATTTTTCCATGCTGTGGATCCCAATTGACCGTGCCGTGGAGGGACATGTGCTTATCTCACATAAAACCCCACTGCAGGGCGATGCTTTCCAGGCACTGCTGAACTGAGACAGATTTGACCCTAGAGATGAAAACTCAGATTGTCTCACCCTATATATCCTTCCATCAGAGAGAAGAGAATGAAACATAGTGTTGTGGGATGATTTATAAGACAAAAGCACTCCAACTACTCATCCTAAATCACAGCAATTGCGCTACGTGCAGCCAAGCTGACTGGTTTTGGAGCAGGTCAGATGAGTTCCAACCTCCTCTTCAAGTATTTAAGAGAAGTCCTTAACAACAGGAACCTGCTTTGTCGCACTTCTTAAAAGAACAGGTTACCCCAGGGAGAACTTGCTGGGTCCCCTTCCCATTCCTCTGCAGCTGATGCCCACATTGCTGCTGTCCCCTCTTCCACGAATAGACACATTTCCGCAGGAATGATCCCTGAATTTCATCTAAGAGCCTTTGAGAGCCTCCTAAATAATTTCAGCATGAGCTATCCTTAGGAAGTTAAAATCAAAGGCACAAGTACCAGCATATTTAATAAGATGGAAACGGCAAAATGAGAACCACATTGAAGGATTTGGGAGTTTCTCCCTGTGTGGATTCCGAAAGGGGTCATGGGTTTGCAGTGCTCTGGCAAGCACAGAGATGCTGTGCATTGAGCACAGGCAGTAATTACATCTCCTCTTTCTAAATTATGTTATCAGGAAACATCTATATTGTTTGCATGGGTCTAGATTACGCTCTGAGAATAGAATGTTCCCTGCATAAAGAGCGCGGCTGGAGTAAATCAATGAGGATGCACTCAGAAACATCAATTAAAGGTAATACAAGTCTTTAGTGTGGCATCAGGGAGCGAGCAGAGTTTGAAATTCTGATCTTCCCAACCCTGCCTTCCTCCCTAGGAAAGCAACAAAGCAGAACTACTCAGAAATTCATAAGGTTTAAAAATAAAATACTTGTCTCCTCTCATCCTCATCTTTACTCAGTGCTGGTTCCCAGCATAGTAGATGAACGTAATGTTTTCCTTCAGGAGATCTCAAACTTCTGCTGGGTTAAGGAGTTGCCTTTCTGCAGGTGTCACGAGTTGAGTACCTTGGTTTTGAGGTATCTGCTTTGGGGGACCTGCGATCTGATTGCCCGAGATGCCAAGAGCCTGCCAGTGATCCACTGGAGTCAAGGAAACCAGGTCCTCGGCTCCTTCAGAGCAGCACCCAGAAATTCAGATTTTCAAAGTTAACAGTTATGTCTGAATACAAAATAAGAGCAAATCTGTGATAGAGGTGGAAACAAAACCTTGACCTTTTGCCTTTCTAGTATGTAGTACCTGGAGCTCATCTGCAGAGAGGTGGGTGATCTGGTCACCCTTGGACATCATTAGTAAGGGACATGCACATAAACAGCATCAACATGTTCTCTCCTGGTCCCAGAGATTTTCTGTTATTGAGGCAAATGGGAAATTAATGTGAATCTTCCTTCAGCCTATTAATTCTGCGTCCCCTTTTGCAGACGTTAATTCAAATGCAAAACCTGAGCCTGGGTTTGAGCCTCCCCAGCGCTCAACTCAGGGTTCCTGCTCAGGCCCATTTGTTACCTACGTGACACTCATCCATCATTGTGATTGTAATGGTGAGAGGTGGAAAATTTTCTCCCAGCTACTCGGAAGAAAAAGGACCTTACATAGAATTTATAAGCCTCTTCAGCTGAGCTAATTATTCAGGGAAGGGTATTTTTCATTGCAAGAAGCACAGGCGAGCAGATTCCATTCATGGCTCAAATACCAAACAGCTTTAACACCTTTGGTTTTAGTGGCTTATTTTATTAATATTAAGGCGGGGGGGTAGTGTTTTGAGTTTGGATATTTTTTTCTTTTTTTTTTTTTTTAATGCTTTTTCCCTTTGGGCAGAAAGCTGCTCCCTTTTCATCACAGCCCTGATAATGAATTGCAGTGTACAAAGCCGGTCATACAATACGCAGCAGCGGCAGCGCGGAGCGAGAATCTTTGGGAAGAGTTTCCATAGAAACATTGACGTCCTCCTGGCGAACAGGACACCGAGTTCCTTCAATGGGAGGTATGGGGTTTTAAAGGAGCAGCGAGGTGGCGGGAAGCCAAGCCAGCAGAGCTATGACTCTGCATCTCCCAGCAGAATAGGGGGTTGGAGCTGGTGGGAGGGAAAGGGAAAAAAAGAAAAAAATAACCCAATTACCCTCGCATTATCAAAATGTCGGGTTGGATGGTTGCTGCTTGAGCGGTGCCGTGTAGAGCCTGGTAAATAATTAAACTGCTGACCGCGAAGCGCGCGAGAGCCGGCAGCCAAAAATCATAAATACTCAAGGCTGTGAACTAGCGGCTTCTAAAAAATCTTGTCAGATTTTGTCACAGGCTTCATCCCCAGAAGCCCTAAATTCAGCACAAATCAGCATGACGCAGGCACAAACCTCCCGGGGACGGGCAAGGTTGCACCCGGCGATGCGCACCCTCCCCTCCCCTGCTTGTCTTGGAATGAGACAAGTGTTTTGCTAATGTTCCAGCTCTGTGTTTTAAATAGCCTTGTGTCTACCCAGCTAAATAGTGGCAGAGCAGCCCTGTCTGGAAGAGGCTGTTTCTAGAAGGAAAACAGTCAGAGGAAATGTTTTTGCCAGAAATGTTGGAAATCATACAAAACAAAAAGGGAGCATGCAAAAGAATTCGCCGCCGAGCGCTCCCCGGTGATTTTGTTCAGGCTCACAAAGCGCTTTGTTTCGGAGCAATCCCCAGATAAGATTAATGAAGGTGACAGACGTCCCTTTTGGGAAAGCCTGATCCACCCCAAAGCCCTGTCCAACATTGGGGATGTCAAACAGAGTCTCCCCACTGGCTGTGGGGGCTTTGGCTCTGGACCCATGAGTGAGAGTGCTCAGCCCCAGGAAGTGAGCAGCCATCCAACCCAACATGGTTCTCTCAGCCTTCATGGCTTCCTCTGGCTCTTTGACTCCAGTTGGGTATCTCTGCACAATTCAGACAAGTCTCTGGTGCAGTTGAATATATTTCAGGGTCTTATGGGTGTCACCCTCCCAAAGAGAGTCATAGAATGATTTGGATGGTGTGGAACCTTAATGCTCATCTAGTCCAACCCCCTGCCATGAGCAGGGACACCTTCCACTATCCCAGGTTGCTCCAAACCCTGTCCAACTTGGCCTTGAACACTTCCAGGGACGGGGCAGCCACAGCTTCTGTGGGCAATCTGTGCCAGGGCCTCATCATCCTCACAGGGAAGAATTTCTTCCTGATATCTAATCTAAACCTGCCTTCTGTCAACTTTAAAAATACCCAAACATCTTTCCAGGATGAGTCACATGAGGTGAGGAGCACCCATTGCAGCTCTTCCTCTGTTTCTCCCCAGAGCTGATATCTCAGGGGTGAGTCGTTTACCCAGCAAACCCCTGTGGTATTTGGTTTGCTTTGTGCAGGTGAGATGGGTGGAGGGTGTGCTCCACTGGGACACAGAGCTCAGAGGGAGCTTTGCTACAGGTAGGAGCAGGTGCCGTGGTCTTGAACCAGCCTTGTCCTCTCTGCAAGCCAGCTTCTGTTATTAAAAAGTGTCTTGCAGGTTTTCCTACATCTGTTCCTTATTAAAATCCCTCCAGAGTGATTAGTGGCAAATACAAGGCATCCACAACCCCATCACAGTTGAGTGGGAGCCTCACATACCCTGTACCTTCCATAGTCTGCTCCAGATAGTCTTCAAAGGCAAACCACTGCAGTGTGGCTGCTGACCTTAATCCCTGTCCTTTACAGTGCTCAGAGACTGTAGCTATTTATACTACTGCTATTGCAATGCTGGAAACTCTATGCTGGAAGCTAAATTATTTCAAATCTATATGGGTATGGTGCTACATGAAGTTCTGGTTTATAATTTTATAGCAAAGACATCCATTTATTCAGTGGGCTCCAGGTAGGATGTTTGGTACAGGATATGGAACTGATCTATTTGCAGAATGTTTGGATGGAGATCATTTTGGTTCAACCTGTTCAGCAAGATTTGCTGTAGACACAGAAAGACAGAAAAGTCGGTGAGTCAGAGGATCTCAAAGAAGTCTCTTGAGTTTTAGGGACTTATTCATATTGTTTCAAAGGATGATGGCAGGAATTACTTTGAAGAGAGTAGGAAGAGAGGGTAAAACAGATGTCCATCTTCCTGAGTAGTACCTTGCTCTTTTCATCCATTCATCTCAGAGTGTTTACTTTATCCTGTTTTGTGGATGCAGAAGACTTAGAAATAAAGACCCATTTAGAATGAGAGATGTTTTACTTGAGCACTGTGTCCTTACTTACAACTTAGGGGAATCTGAAGGCTCATTATTCTTCCTTGATTAACATCACTTTATAAGGTGTTCAGCTAGCATGGCAATGAACTTGATTTAAATACCCAGGTAGGCTGGATTTGCATATGCCAGGAAGGACGGAAGACAAACCAGACCCCCACACCCATCACGATAAGGCAGCTGGGTCAAGGTGGGGCTGGGGACAACGCCTGGTGCTGGATTTGGAGAGGCAGAGACCAGCCTCTGGCTGACCAACCCACAGCACACGGGACTCACGTGCTGGCAGGGACCTATTTGTGCACAGGCAGGAGGAGAGTGCTTGATAATACTGAATTAGGAAGAAATGTAGGTAAAGCAGGGGGACGCACTGGTTTGACTGCAGGTGGACCTCCCAAGCACCTTGACAGGGTATTTCTGGAAGAGTGAGCAATAAGTGAAATTATCTACTTGACTGATATTAAACCAGCACGCTACAGCAGTCCTGAATTTCTTCTGAACCAAACCCTACCACAGCACATCCTTTGCCAGAGGTGCTCTCTCTTCTCTTCTGTACCAGTTGATCCACAGAGCTCGGTGTGGGGTGCACAGGCTGTGCTGGTGAGGTGATTTTAACTGAGGCACAGGCACTGCCCCAGTCCAGCTGCTCACAATCCAGCTGAACGAACCCTCTCAAGAGAGGCTTAATGGAGGAGTTGCACTTCAGTCTTATGAAACCTGATGGCCCCTGATCACCCTGTTGGTGCAGTGCTGAACTGAGGGGCAAACTCCTCATTGTATAACAAATAATTCCCATTAAGGGCAGATTTATCTGCTGGTGGCAGACCCAGGCTCTGTGTGAGGGGCTGTAGTGATGCCTCGGTGAATCTGTACTGGCTCACGCTTAGTGGAGAGTTCCTACGAATGTCTTTGCATGCTGCTTAAAACTTGTGTTTGACTTACAAAACAAGACAGCCAGTTCCCTTTCCATATCTTGTAGTCAAGATCTGTCAAACATATGGAGATGTTTATATCCAGGCATTTCTGTTCAGAGGAACCACCGGTGTCCTGCTCAGTGGCTGAATCAGGAAAGTCTTTCCCCTCACCTGAGCCTACACGGTCGTTCCCTTTGGGTGGAGCTTCTGGAAAACTGCGGCCACAGGGAACCACAGCCAGCAAACACTTTGCAAATCCACTACCCAGACCCACTCCTGCTCTTGGACTAGAGCCTGTGCAAACAGCAGGGAAATTTTATTCCCTGTGATATATCGTTTGAGTTTTCCTTCCAGGAGATCCTGCTTCTTTTTCACATCAGCTCCTCAGCTGAATCTAGGACGCAGGAGATGCTCAATCCTGCCTTCTGGGCTCTCGTTCATCAGATTTACAACGTTTTTGTGCTATAACAGTAATCACAAACTGCTTGCATTAAGTGCCACACTATTGGAAAGCCTTTCCGAAGGGCTCCGAGTCTTTGATCATTCTTTGTATTAGCAGAAAACAAAGTATTTCTTTCAGTAATGGAAGATGAAGTCCCACTTTATCCTTCAAAATGGTGGTGGCTTCCTGTGCCTCAGATGTGAGGCATTGCAGGAGCCATCTTGAACACCTAGATTTTGTAAAAACAGCTGAAATTTGCAAAGCGAGGAGCCCATAATTTCAAACACTGCACTGGAGAGCAAGAGCATGTGCTGCAGAATAGCAAAAAAGAAGAATAGATTTTGTTGAGGATGGGAATTTGATACCAAAAATGAAGCATGGCCATAACAATTACAGCCATCTAGTGGGCAAAAGATTTTTTAAAAGATAAAAATACTATTGATATTCAATTTCAACAGTAAAATACTTGTGAAAGAAAGAGGTCTAGCAAATAACCTGGGGAGCAGCTTGCATTGGTGTTTTGTTGGTTTTTTTTTTTTTTTACTATTCTTCAGGAATACATAAAATCTCAAATATTTTCCTTCTTGCATTGTAGTCTACAAATATTAGGAAAATTAGATCTCATTTGGTGCTCCTGTTTTAACAAGGGACTTGCTGAGAGTATCCAGCGAAGTGTGTTATTGCTCACACTGCAGCTGAAGGGACAGGACTGAATTTTTTAACAGAGATTTCCTCTCTCCAACTGGTTCATTAAATTTTAAAGTTAGATATATGACAACACAGGCTTTAAGTTAAGTACTTGGCAACAAATCAACAGGCTTCAGAGAGTGATTAAGGATCTCTTTCTGCAGATGCTTTGTACACCTTCTTTTGGCTCTTGATGTCATCCATCATCTCAGGAGCTCCTTGGGCTTCACAGGGTATTTCAGGTTGATATGATCTCTAGTGAATTTCTACTGAAAAAGCAAATTGGAAAGTAAGCATTTCGTCTGAAATCTTTGCATATCAAAAGGAAGAAAAAGTACATCCCTTTCTTTATCTTACTTTTATATGGAGCATATGGGCTGAAACGCTGAACTTCAGATCTGAATTCCAAAAACTCCAAAGCATTTTGATTTAGCCCATAATAAAATCTGCAGTGGGATTTCATAACAATGCTTTTTAATCCACCTCCAAGGAGGGATAAGATTCTCTGTGAGAGGGTTTGATCTGTTAGAAGTTTTTTGGATTGTTGTTTTTTTTAAAAAAAACTTAGTCATCTGTATTCAAGATTTTAAAAACATATTTACAGAACAAACAAACCTTCTCAGAATAATCTCCGCAGGCTTTTGATCGCATGCCTCGGAGTGGAAGAACAGGCTATAGGATCTCTTAACTCTGTGACAAGAAATAACTGGCTGTGAATTTTGGAAATCCTCTTTGGCATGTGTTCAAGCCGGTATTAACGCAAACCGCCCCATGCCGATCTCCTGACTCATCCCAAACGGCAGCTTCTGACACTCATCCCATCCGTCGCCGGCCTTCCCTAGGAAGAAAACAAAGCAGCTCCTCCCTTCCTTCCTGAAAGCTCACGTGCCCAAACCGCTGCTGAGCGGGGGCATCTTCTGTACTTGCAAGTGTTTAATTTGGGGTCTGACCCTGTGCTGGCGGATCTCGAAGGTGTGTTTGCAATGGTGTAATTGGTCTCAGCTCCCCAGTCCCTGGGCACACAGTGTCCTTTGGATAAGCCCCAGTGGTTCCACGTTTGGGGCACTCTTTGCAGCAAGTATTTCAAATTCTCTCCGTGTCTCTGGTGCAAATCTCTTTGAAGACAGCCGTATGTCAATTATAGCATTATGTTGCTTCTAAATCCTATATGTATTTATAGGACTCGATGGTCCCTTCCAACTCTATGATTCTATGGTGTTTGTGTATTTATGTATTATTTACACAGGGTATAAATATCCAAGTAACCATTATCCAGAGGCAGACAATGTTTTCAAAGGAAAATGCTGTTTAAATTCTGCAGCCCTGCAGAATCTTCTCTATTGGAGGAAATCTAGTCCCACACTTCTTTGTGCCAGTTCCAGGAGGTTTTTTTCCTTGTCCCACAGGCGAGAGGTGAGGAGTGAAGGGCAGAGGCTCAGCCGCTCTAACTGTGAATTTCTTGATCTCTGACAGTTTTGGTTTTTCTGATTATAGCCTTTTCTAAGAACAGGCTGTGCAGTATAACTTGCCATATAAAATCCTGGGTAGATACAGAGCTGGATTTGTGATGCAGTTACTGGTATTTCATTAACCTTTATCTTGACAAGTGGAAATAACACGCTGTGATTCAGGGGAAATTTTTCACTTGCAGAGAAAAATGGTGCCAAAAGAAAGCAAATGGGCTACAAATTAATAAATACAAGTCTCAATAGCTGAAATCAACTTCCAGCTGGACTCGGCCCCTCTGTGCGTGTTTCAGATGCATCAGGCTGCTGTGATGATGCTCTGAGGGGCACGACAGAGCCGGGGCTTGAACACCACTCAGGAGCCCAGGGGTGACCACAGCCAGTGTTGGGGACAGGGTGATCCTCCTCCAGGCCTCCTCCTCTGTTTTTTCCACCCAGACAAAGACGTGGACCTCAAGGCTTGTCCAACCCCCCCATGGACTGTGGCTTCTCCATGCCGTGTCACGTCTTTGGCCCTGTGGTTCCACTGGGCTCACCCGCAACAGGCTTTTGCTCTGCAAAAAGGCTGCTCATGGTACTGATGACATGGATATGCAATCACTGACCCTCCAAAACCCCAGGGAGAACCATTTCTAGGAGGGCCTGAGCTAAATACAGCCTCTCTACGACTGCAGCCTTGCTGGTGGCCGGCAGAGTCTCCCAGAGGAGACGACAGAGCTGGTGAGTAATAAGGATAACTGATGTTTTTCCAAGTCAAAACCAGCCTGACTCACCACTATTTTGTTTCTTTTATTGTTATTTGTGTTGCTCTGATGCCAGACAGCAGATCTCAGTTATTGAGCCCAGGGTTTTATCACCATTTAGCAGGAGAAAGTGCCCTGTGAAATGCTTCCAAACTAAATCAGTAGGAGGGAAAAAAGAAAAGGCAAAGCCACTTGCTCACTGCTGCCCAGTAATTTGGGGCTAAAAACCCTCAATTCTCTGCTCCTCACTAAGCACCTTCACTCACCCATGGTGGCACATTTTCCAGCTGGCCTTGCCTTGCTCTAAGCTGAGGTTTATAAATAGTCAATACCATCTAGTTTTCCAAATGAGAGATTTGCTTAGAGCACATGTGCCGGGACCCCTCGTGCTCCAGGGAGCACTTGCTGCTGGCAGGGGCTGCTCAGATCCACAGCTTTCTATCAAGATACTGATCTGAGGCCTCAGGAGAGGAAAACATGCCATCAGAAAATGAGCAGGAGGAGGCAGAACACCACGGGCATGGCAGGGGTCACCTCTGCCCATTTGCTGTGGCCGTGCCATCCTCCAGCGAGCAGCACAGTCCTGTACAATCAGCTCCGGCTCCCCGCTTAGGTGAAGTCAGGATCTATTCCTGGGCAGGGATGCCATGGAAAATGTCGCTCTGGAGCTGGTATCTGCCAGGGATAATGTCTCTCTCAAGCCAGTATCTAGCACAGGATAATTTTCCTACTGCTTGTGATACACATCAGCCTCTCAAGGCTTTTGCAACACCCCCGGTGCAGGGAGCAGTTGTACCTACCATTGGACCTGCCAAGCAGAAGATATCCCAAGGAATTCAGCAAAATATCAGGGCCTGGATCACATACATCAATAGACGCAGAATAATTCCCAGATCCAGAGAGAGAAGCACAAACAAAGAGAACCTAAACGTCAAAGAGACAAAAGCTGGCTGGGAGATCAATGCAGAAAAGCTCTGTGCAAGGTCTGGGGTTTAATGAGAGATGAGTAGGATGGGACTTGGCATAGATAGAAGCTATTAGGAACAGCAGAGAAGAACAGGAGATGCAGATAGAGAGAGGAGAGAGAGAACAGCTGGAAGAGGAGGCTGGGAGGAAAGCAGGTAGAGAAGGGTAAATTTTGGCTTGTATGCACCAGTGAACCAGCTACAACCCTGCAAGATGTGAACAAACACGGGAAAAGTGGATGGTTCCAGAGGATCCCTGCAGAAAGCAAAGCTGCTCCACTGCTCTAGGGGGACAGAAGTGGTGTTGACCCTGAGGACAGGCATCCCTGCTGCTCCAAGGCTGTGTCCTGGTTCAAGTGTTGGAGGCAGCATCTCTGACTTGGGTTTTGGTTTTTTTTGTTCTGGTTGTTTTTTTAAAGCAGAGCCCAGATGGGGTCTGCAGTGGCAGCTCTAAATTCTGCCCGAAGCTCCCTGGGCACTCTGAGCACGCCAACATTCCGTGAAAATGACCCTAAAACTGAACCAAATGTGTACTGAGTGCCATCTCTGTGACAGCAGGTTGGACCCTCCAGGGCAGAGGTGTGGGTGAAGCTCTGCTGGTCTGCATCCACCATAGTCAGGGTATCCCAGGCTGGCACCACACCCACCCAGGACTATCCTTCTGCCCTCCCAACAGCAGCACAGCAGGTGGGCAAAAGGATGAGGGTTTGTTCAAACTGATCTCAGCTCCCATCTTGGCTTGGGAAGATATGCCTGGAATTTGGTCAGTGGTGACTGACTCTTTGAATAAATCATCAGCCATTCTGGAGGGCTGTGCCTGCATATTAGGACAATTATTGCTTTCTTCCAGCCTCAGCTGTGTAAAAATGCATTCCTTCTCTTTATGAGAAATTCTCATCTCCTTCTGTCAGTCATCTTGTCTCAACGGGGAAAAAATCCCCAAGCCCTGTCATATCAGAAAATGAGAAAATTATCAATATCTAAAGTGTATGTGAAAAATATGAGCTCTTTCTCCATTTGGGAGAATGAATCTTGGTTGTAGTTGTCTTATAAATGTTAGCAGCTTCTCAGACATTCAAAAATGTTAATGATCCTAAGGTATTAAAATAGCTTGCCATGGAGTTCTCCATATTAAAAATACTGTCTCGCCCTCTGCAGCCATCTAGAAGACTATCATAGATGAATGGTCCTATACATCAATTTATGCATTCAGAAAGCAGAGGCAGGATTAGTATATTCATGCAAACACAACAGGCTCTGATGATTGCCTGCCTATCTGGAGTTAGAATCCAGCTCTGGTGCCTGAGATCAGCTTAATAAATACTATCAGCTTCCGCTGAGCGTAGGAATAGAAAAAAATCTGTCAATAGCTGTAGCTCTGAATAGGAATCCTTGAGTAAAGTAAATCTCTCTACTTCAGATTTCCGCTGGCCTCGTTACCCTGCCTTGGGGGAGAGGAGGGACCAGGGAGGTGACAGCCCCAAACCCCAGAGCAAGGACATGGGAGGGTCCCATCAGCCCCAGGAATGACCCCTCCTCCCCATCCCAGGGGTGTCTGAGCCAATCTGGGGGTCCTCCTCCCCCCGAGGAGCAGCAACTGACTCCAGGGGAAGGTGGGTGTTTGGGTAAGTGGGCTCAGCCCCCTGTCCTCCTCTCCCAGAGCCACGCACAGATCCCTGTGCTGGCCGGGGGCTTGCACTGTTGTTGCCTTCAAAAGAGTTGATTTTGGACTCAGCTCCCTATGGGAAACCTGGGAGCAGGTCCTTCCCCCCCGCGGGCTGTCTCAGACTCCAGCAGAGCTCACAGCTCTGTCCCAGTGCTTTGGGCTGGGACTCAAAAACATGCACCTCCAGATGCTTCAGCACAGCCTGAAGCAGCCAAGGCTGCCACAAGACTGGAGATCTGAATCACATCCCCAGGCATGCAGGAGAGTGGTTTAATTCAGAACTAAACCTTACGAAGGCTACCTGGAACCACAGGTTTGAGTCTTGGCTCTGGGGAAGTTGGCTGGGGGCACAAGTGGAAGAACGTGGCGGAACTTGTTGCTTCTACAGCACTCCTGTGGTAGGACTCACAATTAGATTTGAATCTGTTCTGCTATTTTCCTTTTCAAATATCTGTCCCTCTTGCTTTTATGAGTCATCAATTGTTTTATTTCCCTATCAGATTAGTTTGTTCCTCTCACTGTAGCTTTGGGCTTCTGCAGCTGAATGGGACCCAGGAGACCTGAGCATCGGGACTGAAGACACAGTAGAACACAAAAAGGGCAGCTGGTGCTCAGCAGCCGCCACAAACCACTTAAAATGCCTTTTGTTTATTAGCTATTGTTTGGTTATATATAGTACCTGCAGCTTGAACAATAGGCAGTGGCAGGGTACGTGCTTTGTGCTGTTACAGAGTCCGAGGTGAGGCTTCAATGCGGGAGGCCAGAGGCAGAGAGCAGCAAATTTGCCTGGAAAGCCCTGGTAATGCCATTCCAACTGGCCCATTAGCTGAGCTCCCAAGGAGCCCACATAAACAGGGTTTATTGCATTTCTGTGAGCCCACAGTAGAGAAGTTTATTTAAACAATTTGGTGCAGGGAAAGGTGGATGTTGGCAGGGCTTTGGGCTAGGAGCTGCGGGTAGATGGAGCTGTGGGAGAGCTGCTCCAGGAGAGAGGCCCAGGGCACCCACATGGTCACCCACGCTGGGCTCCTCTTCCTCCCACACCACTGGGCCCTGAGGAGGGGCTTCCAAACCTTCTTTGTGTCAGGTGGGTTATTTCTGGGATGCTCAAGCTGGATGCAGGTGTCCCACTGCCCAGCTCACAGGTGGACCCCAGTCCCACCCCAGCTGAGCATTGCACTGAGCCCCCTCTGCCCTTCAGAGAGCAGAGGGCAAGAAACAGGGTGTTTTCAGACACTTTAGCAACTGCTTTCTCAAAACTTGTGGTGGGACTCCAAAGGGAGTTACTCTTTGCATGCATCAGGCCAGAGCTTTTTGGATGCACCAAGTGAATGAAATGTGATTTTTTTTTTCATCAATTTCCTCTGTTCTGAGGTTGAATAGAGTTTTTTGATCTAATTATCCCTCCCCTCCCAAAGAAATAGAATGGCTTTGAAAAACTGCCTGTACTTTTATACACCCAACATCTGGCTTTGGTAAAAATACTGAAACTTTTTAAAGGCTTCTTGTAGTCTTGAAGAAGGGAGGGTGATATTTAGTAGATGATCTTTGCCCCTGTTTTCTAAGAAAAAATACCCATCCATTGATTCTACTGCTGGCAATTGAGAAAGCAGTTGGGCTGAACTTTTAGGTGAACAAACACTTATGGATCTATTTATACCTGCCCTGGAGCAGACTACCATAGGTGGAAATGCTGTAATTATTTCCTTTCCCTGGTTTCCACTGTCCTATAAGGATCTCCTGGAGCAGCTTGTTAACAAGTTACTGCTCCACATGGTGAAATTAGGATCAAGTCTTTATTAACAACCAAACCAATCTGACTAAAAAAGGACTAAAACTGGCTGTAGCAAAGGTGAGACGAGCTGCTATGAGACAGCTTTTGCTGCTTAGCCCCATCTATCTAAGAAGGCTGAGAATTACAAATGACAAACATGGCTGGCAGTGGAGGGGGGACAGGGACCTGAGCAGCAGTGATGGGGAGATGCAACATCATTTTTCCCGTGTACCTTTTTCCACCAGTGCATGTTTTCAAGTTAATTCCTCTCTCTAAAGAATCCCTCTCCTTTGTTATCTTCCCACTCTTTTCCCTCCCCCTTCTCCCTGGGTTTCTTTCTTGGAGCAGATGATCTCCTACACTCGCCATCCAGGTTAACTCTGGTTTCAGTATCAAAGACCATTTAAGCTGAAAATAGCTTTTACTGAGTCCATGTTACAACCCAGGAGTGTCTGGTCACCAGATAGGATCTCCAGCTGCCCTCAGGCAGCGTGTTGGGGTTATCTGCATGCCAGGACTCTCAGTTCTATGGCCACAAGCCATTACACTTCACCGCAATTCAGGAGGGTCGT